CCATTCGGTAGATACCCATATTGCATGGGTTTGGATGCATATTCGCTGATCAGAGGCACCATATTGGATTTTGGTCCGCCATTTTGAATTCTAAAATGGCGGCGTATGTCGATTTTCGACTTCTACTAATTCAGCCCATTCCGTAGATACCCATATTGCATGGGCTTAGATGCGTATTCGTTGTGCGGAGGCTGTCATATTGGATTTTGGTCCACAAGCTTGAATTCGAAAATGGCGGTGGATGTCAATTTTCCACTTCTACTCATCGAGCACATTCCATAGATACCCATGGGTTTAGATGCAAATTCACTATCTGGAGGCTGCCATATTGGATTTTGGTCCACCATCTTGGATTTGTAGAAGCCATTTTGGGTTGAAATCCATCATTTTAATTTTATCCGAAATGCTGACTTGAATTTCGGAATGTCCCAGACTCTATAATCTAACATATCTTCTAATCCTATGATTTTGATATTGGTTGATTTTGAGAATCAAAAATCCAGGCTGATATTGGTCGAATGTCACGGATAATTTGCGTGGTGATGATGGTTTGTGCCTGTGATTTTAGGTGATATTGATCATGAAAGATAGCTGATCTTGATTTTAGAAAACACTGCTTCCAAGTGATGCAATTTAACTGTGGTCATGCTTGGCATACACAGTTTTGGTCGCGAATTGCTCATTTGCTAATAACTTTGCACATAGTTCTTTTTGAAGCAGTAGATAGAATAGAGTTTAAGCTTGTTATAGATACTTTAAAAAAAGTCAATTTTAATTCTAGTAATAAACTGTATTTGTGTTTGCGTTGTTAAAATGAAGTGAGAAATGCTCGCTGCACATCTCGGACCTTAAGTGTAAAAATTCATTGGTGTTGATTCAAATGTTAAGATTTACCTATTCTTTGCATGTCTATAGTAAACTATGATCCTAACCTATCAATTACTTTGAAGAAAAACAAATTTCAACAACTGAGGGAAAAGTTATTCACAAATGAGCAGTTGGTGCGTACAACCATAGAGGTAACTCTAAGACTAGAAGGTCCCGAAATAACGTGCAACAAACATTGCGTAGTACTAGAATTTCGACTAGAATGGGCTACGTTAATCGTTTGCTTGGGACCAATAGGCTAGTCAAGTAGTGAGCCAATTCAAAATCGTTAGTTTCGTATTGATTGTTGGTACAACCATAGAGGTAACTCTAAGACCACTGGGTCCCGAAGAAAATCATTATTATTTTTGGCTCACTCAGTACCAGAACAACGGTCCCAAGCAGTCCCAAGCTATTTCACTCACCCCTGCATGTTCTGCATGAATCCACACACCCCTGATGTTATCTGTCAAACTTTCATAGCGAATCAAAACAAACATAGTGTAGTAATAGAATTTCAACTAGAATAGGGTACGTTAATCGTTTGCTTGGGACCAATAGGCTACTAAAGTGGTGAGCCAATTTAAAATCGTTAGTTTCGTATTGATTGTTGGTACAACTGTGCATGCCAAGCATGACTGTGGTCACCCTTTACGACCCCGCTGATACAACGTAAGTTCATGATGAGTTAGGTAACCCAGTAACAGTATTATTCGACATCCCGTACTTCGAAAAGAGTGGCTTACAAGAGCCTGAGTGTCTACCAAGGTCCATACAAATGTTCAGGGGTTCTAAAACCTCTCAAAAGCAGTCTACGTAGTTTATTAATAGCCCCTACATTTCTTTTCCCTAGCGCCAAATAAAATCGTTTGGCTAGCTGAAAATCTAGTAAAAAATCTGCATAAGAAAATAAGGTTTAACAATACATAGTTCCTAACAACTAATCGGAAATATTCCTTCAACAGCTTCCCAACTTTGCTAGTTTCTCATAAAATAATATAAATGTTTCTTTAAAAAATACTGCGTAAGCCTAAACGGGTGCTCATATCAACTCATGTTTTTGTATTCGTTTGAACCGTAATTTATGTTTGACTCTATAGATCATTTTTTCAAAAACAACGAAAAACCTTCTTGTGTTTAGTCTCGTTTTTGGTGCTCAGAATTATAGTAGGTACAATAAATAGAGACCATGTCATTCGCGAGTATCATAATATATTCGATATGTATTATTATTATTATGGGTCCTATATGTCAGTCAAGCGTCACTTCTAGTCACTGGTCTAATTTGGTATTACTTCTGTAATATATTCTCTATTCTGCTTCTATTCTGCTCGGCGGGTGAGGTGAGGTGACACGCTGTCACTTGTGAAGTGACAAATGTCACTTGTAAAGTGACAAATATCACTTCGGGTGAGGTGACTCTCCGTGCATATCAAATGGAAAGTCACCTCACCCGAGGTGACAATTATATCGTTTTCGAATACAAATTTTGAAATTCCTGTCCAGTTTAAAGTTGTATGATGAAGCATTTTTTATAATCACCCGTATCTCCATATTACGGATGTCACTTCACGGTGAAAACTTGTCACTTGTAACGGTGAAGTGATTCCCATTTGATTTTGAAAACCAAGTAACCCGTGATTGTGTTACGTTAGCAAGTATTTAGAGAATAAACGTTCATTCCACTTTGTTCCTTCAAACCTGAAGCACCGTTTTTCCTTTTAACTCTGCAAGAGGTTATGGGCCCAGAACCTAACCGGAAGAAAAGAATAAATTAAGTTTTCAAGATGTCAACTGGAGGTAGCAGCGATAGCAGCAGAATCGGAAATCGAACTGAAGCAGGAAGCGTTCGAGTTACGACGGGTTCCGTAGCTATGCCGGCTATAGAGAAGTTGAAGGGCCGTGAAAATTATTCAACTTGGGCATTTGCGATGCGGATGATCCTGATCCGCGAAGGAAGTTGGAGTGCTGTTCAGCCTGCTGAAGGAGAAGTCGTTGCAGCGGACGTCAAGCTAAATAAGAGCGTTGGCAACGATTTGCCTGAGCCTAGAAAGCTACAATTATAGTCTGGTTCAGGATGCAGAGGACGCAGCAGCTGCTTGGAAGAAACTTGCCGAAGCCTTTCAAGACTCTGGTTTGACAAGGTAGATTGGTCTCTTACGTAAGCTTACTTCGATCCGGCTGGTCAATTGTTCAAGCGTTGAAAGCTACGTCAACGAGCTGATGTCTACCAGCCACAAGCTTTCGATAATTGGTTTCAAGGTGGATGATTCGTGGTTAGTCGCGTTGCTCCTGATGGGACTGCCAGAATATTACGAGCCGATGATCATGGGATTGGAGGCGTCTGGAGCAAAATTGTCATCGGATTCGGTCAAAGCCAAGATTTTGCAAGACGTCAAGCTCGAAAAGGGTCCCATTACATGCAGTGACATGGAGCACTGTACTCGCGTGGGACGAACCCAGGCAAAGCAAAGAACCAATATAAGAAGACGAAGGCTGAGAAGATGTGCTTCAATTGTGGTAAGCTTGATCATTTTGCTGCCAGAAAGGGCTCGCATTTTTGCGATGGGTAATGTCAAGAGCAAGGCGTGGTATATTGATTCGGGAGCGACGTGCCACATGGCTCAACCAAGCCAGAAATTTGTTGAAGAGATGGCAATTGAACACGACGTTGGAACAGCAAACAATGGTTCTATGAAGGCCGTGGCAAGAAGTACCGTGGTTCTGCAGAAGCGGGACGACTCCATTGATGTTCATGATGTTCTGAAGATCCCGGACTTAGCAACAAACCTGCTGTCAGTAAGTACGATGTGCAAACGAGGTCATAAAGTTATTATCTCGGCAGACAAGTGCGAGGTGCTAGATGATGATGGTGAATTGATAATCCATGGAGTCGAAGAAGGCGGATTGTACCGAGTAGTAGAATCGGAACGGTCATTTCTTACCAACGACATTGAGTTGTGGCATCGACGATTGGGTCACTTGAAGGAGGCTAGTTTGAAGCAGCTCAAGCAATCGAACGAGGATGTTAATTTTTCAAACAACCAGCTGGCAGACTGCACTACATGTTCAGAAGGCATACAAGCTCGACTACCGTTCCAGAGAAGTAAAACAAAAATATCAAAGGTTCTGCAGCTTGTACATTCCAACCTGTGTGGGCCGGTAGAGGTTCCGTCGTGGGTGGCAATCGTTATTTCATTACGTTTGTGGACGAAGCAAGCAAGCGAGTTGTTGTCTATTTCCTGCAAACAAAGAATCAAGCGTTTAAGGCGTTCAAATTGTTTCAAGCAAAGGCTGAGCGACAGAAGGGAACAGCGCAGAAAAGGTTGCTGTACACTAAGGACGATAGTAGAGGCCTTTAAGGATATAGCGATGCCGATTGGGGAGGAGATCCTGATGACAGAAGATCGACAACAGGTTACTTGTTCACCATACAAGGGGCTGCCATATCCTGGAATGTGAAAAAGCAACCAACCGTAGCCCTTTCATCATGCGAGGCGGAATTCATGGCACTTTCGCGGGCCATTCAAGAGGCGATGTGGTGGAAGAATCTGCGTTCGGAGCTAACAGAAGTTGAAGCAATGCCAATCTACTGCGATAATCAGTCGGAAATCAGCAGCGCGAACAATGGTTCGTATAATCCAAGAACAAAGCATGTTAGTATTCGCTACCATTTTGTACACGAAGCATTGGAGCAGCAGACAGTGAAGCTCCAATACATCTCGACAGCAAACCAACCTGCGGATGGATTCACGAAACCGATGACCCTTTTGAAGCAAGCTAAGTTACGCCAATTCTTAGGCATCACGGATTAGGGAGGAGTGAAAACCAAGTAACCCGCGATTGTGTTACGTTAGCAAGTATTTAGAGAATAAACGTTCATTCCACTTTGTTCCTTCAAACCTGAAGCACCGTTTTTCCTTTTAACTCTGCAAGAGATTTGTACGGCAATCACGGCTCTTATTCTGAGTATCACTTCCTAATCACCGTGTAGTGACACCCGTTATAAGGCCCATAATAAAAACTGATTAACGAACAAAAGAAACGCAATAGTTCCAATAACGGTACGATTTCAGGCCCGCATTGTATGAAGCACCTCTGTGGTTGCGTAACTGTTAGAAACACAAAAACCATTTTTATCCGATTTTATTGAATTTTTTTTTTTTCATCAAATTTGTAATAAATACATTGTTGATAGTACACTAATTATAGTTGGCAATATAAATATATCATATTTGAAGCAGCTTCCTGTCTGATATTAGCATGTAGTTCGCCTCTTCCGAGCCATATTTAAGCAAAGCTATGAGATAAATTATCGAGAATCAATCCCAATGGGAAAAAGCCGTGCCTGATTGAATGCTAAATCCTGGACGCTCATCGCAGATTGTAATGAATATTGAAACGAATATTGTCCACACATAAAAACTCATGTAACGGCAGGGAATTCACTGCTCCCGTCGCATCCGCTCCAGGAACAGTTCGTACAGCACCTTGTTTCGATTGAAGTAGTGTGGATTTTCATGCTCACTCAAATCGGGACAATACTCGCCCAGTGCCTCCCCGTTTACCACCAGCGAGTCCTGACCGTGGGACGGTGGCCTTGTACCAGCACCGCCATTACTGGGAGAACTTCCGCCGGACGGTATGGAGTGGCAGGTACTTCCGGAGCTGCTACTACTGGAACTGCACTGGGGAAAAGTTGCCTGGTGACCCTCCAACAAAGGCATATGCATACTCGCAACAGCTGGATGATGTTCCGTAGGGAACCCTACCCCTCCGTTGTTGTTCAGGTGTAGATTATTTATCCGTTTCGACAGGGGCATGAATTCGTTCACATCCTCCTCACGAATTCGTTTCCTACAAAAAAAAGAACCAATAAGTGTATGCTCCATAGACTGCAGAAATGACTACGTCACGGATCAGACAGAAAAAATAAATAAACAAAGACTCCATCAGAATGGAAATCTTACCTTGGATCCACAACGGCAGACATATCCTGTAGCTGGTGGCTATTAGAAGTTGCTCAATCTAACTGGGACCTGTTCCTCATTAAGGTGCTATCAGACACTAATATGGTAATATTTGTTACAAGGCAAAATTTGAGTTAAGTTGAACAAACTATTTTGATGATCGCTGACTGCGAAAATAATACGCTTGACTACTCCGCAAAGAATGAGGAACAAGTACTGCGAATTTTGCTGACAGTGTCGAATGTTTTGACTGCAAGTTCGAGATCCCGCAAAGCATCGAAGAATCAGCTGAGCTCCTTTGATGAGTGACCAGGTTTTGAGAACGATACCCAAAGTGTTTACCAACACGGTGAGAAAAGAGTCCCGCACCCTACACTATAGTCGCTATATTCATAGTCTGGCGGATAGAATCTCGGGTATCAATTTAGCTGTCAAATAGCGGAACCAATCGAGCAAATCACGACCATCAACAGAAAAGAACACATCAGCGAACACAATTTCGGAAACCGTTTTCTCGTGACTCAAGGCTAACAAATTAACGCCATCTTTAGGTTGTGGAAAGTTTCCCCTAACCGATGATGCTGGTAATTTACCTTCGATTGGCGAGGAAAGAATAATCAAGGTTTTGTTTATAAAAGTTGATAGTACCTTTTCAATAGTTGGTCTACAATATATTGGCGTTGACGGCGACTCTGTAGCTCTTTACTCCTATATGAGAAAATCTATAAGCAAACGTCAGACTGTGCGTGAAACATGGCGGACTTTGTACTATTCTTTCGCTCCACCGAAAATTCCCATAAGACACTGTCTATATTTGCTGGAAGAGAAAAATGGCGTCAACGCCAATTGAAATGGTTCCGCTTTTTGATAGATTTGAGATTCTATTCGCCAGACTATGAATACAGCGACTATACTCGACACGCTCACCTAGGGGTACACACTTAAAAAATTATACGAGCTCAGCTCAATTGACCACTTTGTCAAGCAGTTTTGGCGTGACTTTCTACCTGTGAACTGCGGAGTCGACCAATTTTATTTTGCAAGCCAATGGAAAACTGCTTGAAAATTTTCTCAAGTTTAAAACTGGTTTGCTCTTTCTCAGTTGATTCCCGCCAAAAGCTCTGAGCCAGGAGTGCTCGAGCCCCCATGACTCTATCAAAGTTTGTTTACATACATGTTTCGTAAAGGAAAATTATGCTGGTTTTTATTATTTCATCACTGAGCCTGTTGGTTTTTATCTTTGAGCTTAAAATTAAGAATGTGTTATGAAAAAGTATAGATCATTTGTATGAGATTACAATGCTTGACGGTAGATAAGAACAGTAACTGCATTTGCTGGCTTCTGAATGTTTGGCTATCGTTTGACAGTTCACACTGGCTCCCAAGTGACAAGCACCTTGAGTGAGTCCGCAGTACTCAGCTTTCTACCAGCAATTTCACAAAACTGAACCAATTAATTTTTAATTTTTTTTTAAACGCACAAATGTTCTCGAGGTTCTAGAAGAAAAAATCTCAAAATAATGTTTTATTTCAAAGTTCGAGTGGTAGTAAACTTCATTTTAACTGCTCGAATGAAGTGGTTAATTTCAACCGATTTTTTATTTGCTGAACGCTCGGTCTGTTCGGTTCAAGAAGGAACAACCGAGCTTTCGTTAAATTTTCTTTTCCCACAATCTTTCGGTTGCCAAAAAAATATACTGAAGCGGGAATAACTCGCTGTTTTAATCCCTTTGGAAATTGGTTTGTTTTATTTAGATATATTAGAACATATTTTTCACGATCATAACGAAGTTGGGGTTGTAGTGACATCCGAAAATGTAAGTTTGGTTGTCATCATTAAACTACATGTGCCCAAGAGCTTTCCACGTATCGGCTATTATATCCAGAAGGATATGGTGTCCACAAGCTTTAAGAAAAACTGTTTTTTAAAAGACAGCAGAATCTAGAGACGGTAATCCTAATAAAAAAAAACATAAACGAACGATAATCCAGATGAAAGACCTATTCCACAAATGGTTTGGAAGATACCCGGAGCATGTCGTTAAGCATTAAGCGATTCGTTAGTTGGGTCAACTGCCAGAAGGCTAACATTTGTTGGGGTTGTCGCTGCCAAAAGCTACTTTCTACTCTAGTTTAGAGAGTCTTTCGTTTTTTAAGGATGTATGTATTCAAGTATTAGTACAAGACACTGATTAGGGCCTGTTCATAAACTACGTAGACAGTTTTTTTGGATTCTTGACCCCCCCCCTCCCCCTGCGTAGACAATTGTCCATACAAAAAATTAAAATTTGTATGGGCCGTGGATAATTGTCAACTACTTCAAAACGCATTAAGGTTCAATTTACTTTGACGCATTTTTTAAAAATTCAAAAGCAGTTTTTTTCGATGCATTATTTTAGATTGCAAAAAGCTCGCGTCATTTTGTGTAAAATATTAAAAGGAATCGAATAGTGCGAGCCTTTTTGCAATCTGAAATAATGCGTCGGAAAAAACTGCTTTTGAAATTTTCCAAAAAGCATCAAAGTAAATTGAACCTTAATTACTTTAAGTACTTTTGAATGCATTTTAACTTCAACGCACAGGTTCTTTGTATTACGTGCCCCTTTGGCGTATCTAGGTAGTAATAAGGTAGTGGAATTAAGTGGAAATTACTAATCCTTCTCTCTCTTTTTATACAGGTATTCCACTAAGACGCCCACATTCATCAGGAAGGCGCAAAGTATTGGGCGATATTGTTGTTGTCAAATATGTTTGGGGTGATGTAATGAGGGCGTATTCTTAATCATCCACACTTACGGCCAGAATTACAAAATTTACGAATCTTAAAGGTAAAATTAACAAATTGGAGATTTTACACTTTTACGATCATGAATTGATCTGCATTGGAAAAAAAATATTACTACCCTTTATTTAAAAATTAAATTAATACCTGCAAACTTGCTAGTAGTAGAATCAAAAAGAAAAACGTGATAAGGTACAGAATTTGCAATCAAAAACTGTTTCGTTACGTTTGTCTTGGTTTTCTTGCAAGGCATCTTTACTTTTTTAAGCATCTGTTCCTCCTGACGGTACGTTGGTTTTTTTTTCTCGTTTTTTTAAACATCAAAATAACAATCGAATTTAAACATTATTTGCGTTGGTGCCAGAATTAATTAAACAAATTTATTATCTGTTTCTGTGGGTGTTAGCACAATGTGGCAGAGTGATTTACCCCCTGCAAAATGCTGGTGTGCTTAATATGTGTTTTTGTTTTCTTCTCGAATTTCAAATGAAACTCAAATGTTTCGAATATGTTCACATTTTGACTTCCAGATGCTTTTAATTGGGTCATGGTCCAAGTAGCGAACACCCAACTAACGAGAACCCCAACCAGCGAATCTCCACTGTTATACATTTAACACCAAACGAAAATATTATCGCTTTGTTTTAATAGTTCTTTTCGCAACCAATGAGTGAATGAAGTCAAGAGCAAATTTTCATTAGGTCGTAAGTAACATTTCAACTCACTTGAGAAAATCGGCTCCGATGATTTTAGAACTAATTTTTATTCCTATTTAAAAAGAAATCAATTTTATATTAACTAAATACTTCTAAACGATAATTTGTGCTATTTTTTTGCATCGCTGTGGTAAATATTCAAATTAAGTTTGATCATAATATGAGTTTTGTAAAAAATAAGATTATTCGACGTATTGGTTCACCAAACGCGCATACGACCTTTTCATAAGTCACTATGATAGGTTGCACGTTACTTTCGTCTAGGCGTTACGCTGTTTTATAAACTGACATGTTACTTACGTTGAGTGGGTTACGTTATTTTGTAAGCTGTCATGTTGCTTACGTCATGTTGGTTTCGTCGATTCGCTAAACACAAAAAAATTAAATGTTACTTACGTCAAAAGAATTTTAGCATAAAAATTATGCTCATTTTTGTTTTATTTTGTGTTTCCTTCAAGCGACAACTGTTGTGTAACTGTTTTATGTGTTTTTGTGCAGTGAACCAGTAAATATCCATCAGGGACCTTTGTACACATCGTAAGATGCTGCTTGTGATGTTCCTTTTGTAGATTCAATTGAATCTACCCCTAGATCGTTCTGATTCATGCCACGGAGACTGAAAATGGTTCGGTTGATATAGATCTTTTGGTGAGATAGACCATCAGTGGTGTCAGCCGTTCAACTGTTCACAACATAAAACCAGGATCCTGTTGAAGATTCGATGTTATGCTGGGAATTTCGTACACAGCAAAAAAATGTAATATCGACCAACGTAATTCAAGCTGTTGTATCAAATAATGATGTAATGAAATAATGAATAAAGCAGATACAATATTACATCAAATGGCTGTTTGGAAGTAACAACTTTTTTTTCTGTGTACGGTATGTTGCAGTTTTTTCTGGCTAAAAACCTAGACCTAATTAAAAACATCTATTTTCAGATAGTACCGATGATATGCTGCACCTAATTGGTGTCTTTGGATCGGGCTTCTATGTGCGTTGGAAAAGATGTTTTGGAAATTGAACCACTTCACTTCTGGGATATGTTGAGCAAGGCGTTTTTCATGGTGCTCCAGTTGGTAGTCAGCTTAGTATCTAGATGGCTATCCACACATTTCGGAAATTGCATGGACTCAAACTTGAATCGGATTGGACGTTCTCAATTTAGCGTTTTTCTTATTTTTTATTAGTTTATAACTAGAAAAATATTTATTCCTCCAACGCGAACTTTGCCATGGAACAATTTGTTGAAACATTTCTTTTAGGACCTCAAGAAAGTTTAAGCATGTGCTAGCGAGACTGTTGGGATTCCTATTTATGTTTCGCAGAACCATGAACATCGTGTAGTTGATTGCGACGAAGAAAACTTCTTCGAAACCGGATTTGTCAAAACTGAAACCGGCACGAACCGAAAAATAGCAAAAACGCGATTAAGGAAAATATTGAGATCCACTCGGACGAGTAGTTTAAGAACGCGTTGCTGGGGTTGGATGAGGTTGTTCCGGAAATGCCTCCACCGGCAAAAAAGAATTTGAAAGAAGGAGACCAATGGACATTAGAAAAGGGAAAAGAAAAAGAAAGTGATATTGTGCCTTAACTGACTTGGCTTTTCGAGGTCCGTTAGCGCGTCATTGTGCGATTATAGCGCACTACTCTCGACACTATGTTCAACAGACCGAACGAGGCAGACCGAACGCTAGCAGGTTATTCCGGGTTTCAACTGTACTGATAATATATAAAGTGTTTCCTTAACATTCTTTGTGAAAATAACGAGAAATATAAAATGAATGACGTTGTATACATTTTTATCGCATTTCTTTTATTTACTAGATTTCAACAAGCAACTAGGTATGTACTGTTGTAGTAACTTAACGCTAACATCAGTTTTCGGCATCGCTTTCAAAGTCATATAAATCCGAATCAAAATGATCTTCAATGCCGATTTTCTGTTTTCTTCCTCGCTTAGGCTCCTGAAGGCCTGTCAAAAAAGCAGAATAGTAGCGTTTTTGTTTGATGTACGGCATTAAATTTCTTAGATCTGCCAGTTTTGCTGCCGGAAGCGGTATTGGCTGTGTTTCGATTGGACTTAGTACAAAATCTTCAGCATTACGGTGATTCTCCTGCGTTGTCAGCTCCATTGAATGATATTGCTCCTCAGATAAGTCATACTTGAATAGAACGACTCTAGGATGGTCAGTGGAGTACTTAAATACCATTATCTGTTTGAATTTTACACTGTCTCCAGCTACAGTTCGCCGAGGAATTCTATAACGGCTAGATAAATCTTTTATTGATTTGAACTCCACTTGATCCATTTCGATAACATTGAAAGGTATGGACCGTCTAACTGAAGCTATGAAAATAGCCCAGTCACGAGGCGTTTCTATGTCTATGGACGTTTTCTTCTTTGATCGTTCAATGGCTGCATGGATTGTGTCCACCTCCATATGCGAATGTCCAGTGCACATGAACTTATGTTCAATAGTAATGGATCGGCCACGCTCGCCAAACAATTCGGCAAAAAAGCTGAACAAAAACACGATGTTTTTGTTCATGTTTTGACCACCACATCGGTCGCTGTAGTAGATTACATGATTTATACAAGATGGCACTGATGTCAAATCCTTTATAAGGCAGGATCCGACTTCCTGCGACCCTCTGCGGGCCTTTGTTTCGTCCCACAAATAACAAAAAGCAGCATTTTCTCCCAGGCAACTCGCGAACATAGTGAGGTTCAATGTGTAAAGTTGTCTGCTATAATACACTCTACCTGATGTTAGGTGGGGTGTTGGAAGCTGCTTTTGTAAGTCAAAAGACACAACTCGAACCGTGGAATCGGTCTTCGATCGTCGTATGTCACATCTCTTCTCCTCGTAGACCCGTTGAGCAGCCTGTTGATGTTCTTCCAGTTTGTTTTCTATCTCCTGTTTCTCAATTTCATCCGTTTTCAATTTAATTTCAATGCGCAGTTTATCGCAAACATCACACGTGTCCTGTTTTGGCTTGCGAAAAGACAGATTCATAGAACTAAATATAATTCTATATGTGTTGTAGGCCACTGGTACATAGCCATCGCTGGAACACTTTTCCTGATACAATTGATGCATCTTTGCCACATTGAGATCACTTGATAGATAAAGACGATCAGATCGTGCGCGACCGTAGTGGCTCGTATAAGCCGGGAATGATAATATATGTGTTTTAATATATTGCATATGCTCTGTACTGACGGTCAAGCGTGATCCATTCTTCAACCTACCATCGTCAGCAGATATACCAGCACCGGCGATTTTTTTTGCAGCGATTGTACGAATTTTCCTGTCACGAATGTCCAAAGTTGCCATGAATATGTCTTTGCAGACCTTGACTGGTCCTTCGACCGCAGGCAAATAGTATTCTCTAGAATACGCACGTCGTGAATTGACCACCTTTAAATGAAATTAAAAATACGTTATGTTGTGTTGTATAGCATCCAGGGTTGAAAAAATCATCTGCATTCACTATGAAATGAATGTTTCATCCAAAGTGAACTTTGATGAATTTTAGTGATTTTTTTCAGCCCTGTCAGCATCTATAGAAGGAGACGTAGCAGTAAGTTTACTGTATAGGGTGTGTAGGTCATATCTCCTCAACAAAATTTCTGATCGACATGACAATCAATAAATTCAACGGGAGATAGATTCAAACAAAATAAATTTTGTTATGATTACGAGCAACGTTAAAAATAATGCCACTTTTGTCCCGACCATTTCCGATTTCAGGTGTAGGAATAAAGATGGAGGTATTTTGAGGTGGTTAAAAGGTGAAAGCAGCACTACGATGAACACCTGAATTTCTCAGAGGCAGAGAGCCAAGCGAGCAGGAGAAACGGCTTTATCGCTACGGTGGACGAATAAGACATACCAACTCCGAAGAGAACAACAAGGCAACTGGGAAGGAACTTATAAAAATTGACCCAAATAAGTTGGTTACTTGTTCTGCACCCACTGACAGTCAGGATCTTGGATAAAGAACACTTGGTTGTTTCAGATCATCTGGTCCATATTCTGGTCAAATCCTAAGTCAAATCTCTGAATTTATTCTAATGAGTCATCTATAGTGACAAGCAATGCATTAGGTATAGGAAAAACGTGACAAAAGTGGGAGGGGAGGGGGGGGTTAAATTTTCCTCAATTAGGCGTGACATAATTAATGCATGGCCCATAAATGTCTAAACAAACACAGAGCTCTAGGTCCAGTTTCACAAATGGACAATATTTACGGTTGTATTGGATCTGGATCGTCTGGAGGATCTTCCCGTCACAACCAGGGTCCATATTCCGGTATAAACATCGAATTCATTGTAATGAGACATTTATAAGTGGTTTCGAAAAACCGAGGAACTCTAGATGCAGTTTCATGAATTGCCAACTTTAAGGTTGTTCTATGGCTCCCATGGTCCATATTCCGGTCTAAATTTCAAATTAATATAATGAGAGAGAGAAGGATTAGTAATTTCCATTTAATTCCACTACCTTATTTGCTTATCCTTGACAGATACGCGTATTTCGTCTACAATGTGCAGACTTCTTCAGTGTCTTGTACTAATACTCGAGTATTAGTGTCTTGTAGTAAAACTCGAGTATTAGTACAAGACACTGAAGAAGTCTGCACATTGTAGACGAAATACGCGTATCTGTCAAGGATAAGCAAATAAGGTAGTGGAATTTAATGGAAATTACTAATCCTTCTCTCTCTCTCATTATACAGGTATTCCACTAAGACGCCCACATTCATCAGGATTCAAATTAATTCTGATGAGACATCTATAAGTGGTTTCGAAAAACCATGGAGCGCTAGGACCAGTTTCACGAGTAGACTTCTTTTACGGTTGTTCTGGATGGGGTGGGTCACTTCTCGGGTCACCTCGTGGCACTCAGCGTCCTTATTTGCAGTCAAACCCGGAAGTCATTCTAATGCGACATCTATAAGTGGTTTCGGAAAAAAACGCGGAATTCTAGGACCAAATTCTCGAATTGATCACTTTTACGGTTGTTCCGGATCTTCCAAAGTATCCTCCCTTAAGGTTCATATTCCGGTTAAAAATCGGGGTGCATTCTAATGGGACATTTATATCTTGTTTCAAAAAAAGAAACCGTGGAACTCTAGGCCCAGTTTCACGAATTGACTATTTTTGTGGTTGTTGCGGATCTTCCGGAGGGTTACCCCGTGGCTCCAAGGATCTATATTCCGGTTAAAACTCTGAATTAATTCTAATAAGATATTCTATAAATGGTTTCGAAAAATCCGCGGAGCTCTAGGACCAGTTTCATTAATTGATAAATTCTACGGTTGTTCCGGATCTTCCGGAAGACCAGCTGGTGCCCTACTAAAAGCTAAACTTTGCCTAAGAGTGGCTAAAAATCCGCTAATCAATTTTCCAAAAGACATCAGGAAGTCATCTCTAGGTTTCCCCACAATCAAAATTGGCCCCAAATTAGCTCCAAATCCCATATGCTACGTGTATTCGGTCCCTATTAACCTTGATTGTATTTGGTCATGTATCTAGAACCAAATGTCGAATCATAATGAATTAATTGTTGCACCTGTTACCAAGATTAAATTTCATGTTTCAAATAGAAATAGGTATTTCAAAACAAAATCTAGTGGAAATTACCTTTGGACGATCAGTTTTTTTTACTGACATGTGACTTGCAATGAATTGGTTTTGACCTGATGTTTTCAGCTTGAGTAGGTTTCTCAAAAGCTGCGCTCGAATAGTGTCCGGGTATTTTCTGCCGCAATTAAGCTTGCATTTGCAAGAAGGCTTAATCATTCGGGCGGGAACGATCCTACCGTATACTCGAGGCCTTTCTCTTTTTGACACTTATTTAAGTTTCTGAGTCGAGTCTTAGAAACTTTCATTTGAACAGTTTCTTTTTCCATGTTCTCTACCGCCTGAATACTTATATTTCCAGTTAATTTGTCCATTTGTATATCATTTTGTATCGGTTCGCCTGAAATTACAAATGAATATTTTTTTACTCATACGCATACATTTAAATCAAATCATTTCCACTTACTTCGCAATCGCTTTGGTGGCAAATGAATATCTTTGTTGTCAGCCAAGCGTTTACGTGCCTTGTCTACCTCACCATCCGAGTCATCGTCAAGTTCATTATCACTGACAATTGTGTTATAGTTTTGAAAATATTCATATATAGTCAAATCATTGAGCAATGTAGGATCACCATCCGCACTCTCATTAGTATCGAAAGTGTTGTTGTCAGGATTCCAATCAGGATCATCGGAGCTTGTTTTAGAGCAAACATTTTCATCATCACTATGCATCTCGTTGTTGTCAACATGCATCACTTTGTGTTCCAAAGCGATGGGCAATTCAAAGTTTTGATTTTCGAGAGCGCCGTACATCTCTTCATTGTTTTTAGAGCAAAGTGCATGATTGCGGACATCATTCCGCCCATCATTGTTTTCCGAAGGATATTGCTTTTCAGAGATATAATTTTGAAGATTTCCGTGAACATTTGAAAGATTTGATGATTCTCGGTTCCGTGTGCATTCCGGTGCGTTCGGCAAAACAGGGCTGGCTTTGATTAAACGCAAGTCTATCGGAGATATATAGGTTTGTACTTGCTGTGGTGTGTTGTGCAGAGTTGGTAGTACCAAACATAGTGCTTTTGGGCTTGAATTATTTATTGATAGGTCCATTGCTTCAGTGGACGATTTCATTGAGTAATCGATAGGAGCCATATACGGTTTCGGCAAGTGTTTCGGCGTTGATGTGACGATTTGGTTGAAGGAAACATCTAAGCTTGCAGACAAAAAATTATCATGGTCAACATGTTTAGGTGTTGAACCAACTGTACTTTTGTTGGTAGTGAACAGCGCTGAAATATGTTTGATTAATTAATGTGGTTCTAATAATAAAAAGGAGAGTGTTAATAATTACCTCTCCGTACTTTGAAGGCCGGCTGTGATATCGAATATTTCACGATTTTCTCTCCAGGCAAGGCAAGGCGACGAGAATTGGATCCATGACGCATTTCAAAGTTCTGCGAACGTACTCTTGCCGAGCGCGTAGATACTGACAAGGATTTGTCGGGTTCTGACGTAAACAAACCATCGAACGACACTGAAATTGGCTACATTAGATATTCTGCCAGATATTAGTAATGTAAAAAAAAAAAAAAATTACCTTTCCGACCAGATTCAGTGTTAACCCTACTGAGATTCCTCAATGCAGGTTTAATAGAGGATAACCTGGATTTTTCAAGTTTTGGTTTGAATGAACCACTCGACACTGGAAATGTTTTAGTCAGATTCAAATTTAATATGCAATACTGTATTTATCTTATACCCCGTTCACACAACAACCTATATCACGTAACTTTCGCTGGAAATGATATGGATGACGATTGGTATCAAGATACTCTACATATATCGCATATAGGCTGTACTTTGAACGGGGTATAGAGGCCGAGATAGAGGCTATGCATTAATTATGCCACGCGAAATTGAGAAAATATTTAACACCCACGTTTTTTCCAATACCTAGTGCATTTCTTGTCACATCTTTTATCACCCCCGCCCACCTTAGAGCGCGACATAATAAATGTAATTGAAACACTACTCTTACCCTTTTCAACAATGCGACCTGCATATCGTTTCAATTCATTAGCTATTGTTTTACCAGGCCAATTCGACATTGGAGCTTCAATGTTGCTCAAGTCCTGGAATGCCGAGCGCGTAGAGCTAGACAGCGATTTTGGAGTTTCAATGCTGCTCAAGTCCTGGAATGCCGAGCGCGTAGAACTAGACAGCGATTTATGAAACTCCGAACTGAATGGATAGTTCAACGACGCTAAAAAAAAAATGTATCATTAGGATGATTTGTTACGAGAAATTGAGGAAAGTTTAGGCACGGTGAATGGCGACTTGACGGTACTTTTTTCTTCAAAGAATGTGAAACCGCTCTCCTCTTTTAAAGCATGACATGGGTTAAGCACAAAATGTAATATAAAAGTATCAACACTTACCCTTTTGAACAGACTGTGCATTAGAATGATCCTTATTGATGTTTTCTTCGAGTCCGGTTATTGAACGGTTGTAATCCAGCCGGGAACACGATTTCGGGATGATCTTCGAATCAAATGAACCGGTATTGGGAACTAAAATAGGAGCAATAACATTAACTAAAATATTAAAAAGGGTATGAAAATCAACTTACCATTTCCTGTTTCGATAGCAGAAATCACAGAACGGTTTGCATCCAACCGGGAACCCGCTCTGGGGACGATCTCCGAACCAAATGATCCAGCATTGGTACCTAAAATAGGTGCATTAACATTAACTTACATATTAAAAAGGGTATGAAAACCAACTTACTATTTCTTATTTCGATATCAGAAAACGTAGAACTAGCATCCGACCGCGAACCCGATCTGAGGATGCCGGTTTGTGCTACTGTGCACGAAGGCTTCAATAGAAATTTCTTGAACTCGGCTCCAAATGAACGATTTAACGGCACTAAAATAGGTTTAATGAATTTGAAAACTAGATAATATATTATTCAAGAGAACACAGTCAAGCTTACCTTTCTGAGCTGACGAATCACCGTCCATTCTTGTTGACGGTCAAAAAACAGTTGAATCTATTGATCCGTGTCGTTTCACGGTGGCGGATTTATTCAGCTGGATGACGGCAAAGAGTAGCTGCATCAGCAAGAGGAAATTGACATTTTAATTGGATCGACCAGAGTATAGAGATTACCGAAGTTTATCGTACACAAACTATGTTGAGCGACGTCGCGTATACGTATATGCACAATGTTTTCATCAGGAAAATTGCTCCCATAGTAAAATATTTTCCTGATGAAAATAAATCACAGACACAATCACACTTCAGCAATCTCTATTTACCTTCTGATTTTGACAGGTGACTTAAGTCGAATTTCGTTTATAAGACGTTTTGACAGAAAATTGTCGAAAACGATGAGACGTTATGAGCGTTACATAAGTCTTTTTACAGGTAAACCGACCAATGTCGCAAAGTAGTATTGTTGTATGGTTGTGTGGCATAAGTCGATTTTTCAATGTGCAAATTTTATGTTTTACTATCAAAACATCACCATGAAAATTTAAATCCACATTAATGTACGCTTGAGCTATCGTATCGCACGTAAATCTCGTTTTTGTTTACATTGTTACTTACGACCTAATGAAAATTTGCTCTTGAAGTATGGATTTGCTGGAGGTTGCTGTGATAATGTCATCTTGGCACGAATATATCAAAATATTGCAAATATATCGAAATAATTGATATTGTCTAGCCCCTTGGTCTTCCCCCTAGGTCTCAATTCATTTGAAAAGCTTGTGCTTGTAGCTCTGTTTGCGGATGATATTATCTCCTAAACTGATTATTTTACAACCATTTTCAATACAAACCTCATACTGCAATTGAATGATAGTTGTATGAATCTTCATCATCTGCTTTTTTTTAATCTTTATTATAGAGATTTTCAGCCGAAGGCTATCCATCATCTGCTGAGAAATCCAACCAAAAGATAATCATTCAGAATGACAGCATATCCCGCATAAACGCGAACCATCACATGACCTTACCGATAATGGTTATAAATTGTTTATAATCCCTGCTAAACTTCAACTGAAATCGTTATGGAACTTTACATGAACGTTTGTGTGATAAAGTTTTAACCTTATGTATTATGGTTTTTTGGAAGCGGACCTTACAAATAATGGGTTGTTAAGAACCATTACCATTCCAAATTCTTGTTTTCTCCATACATTTTCGGAAAGAGAACTATATTAGAACGTTTTTACTTATGGTTTGAGAACATTAATGGTTATGGTTATGGTAGTCAGTAAGGTCCATTAATGGTTTTGTATTATCACTCAACTTTACGTGAAATATATCGTGAATTGGTAATCAGTAATTTACAGGCAACCAATTCGCGATATATTCCACATAAAGTTGATCGATGTTACAAAACCATTCATGGACCTTACTGGTTACCATAACCATTACCATTAATGTTCTCAAACCATAAGTTAAAAGGTTTTAGTATAGTTTTCTTTCCGAAAATGTATGGAGAAAACAAGAATTTTGAATGGTAATGGTTCTTAACAACCCATTATTTGTAAGGTCCACTTCCAAAAAACCATAATACATAAGGTTAAAATTTTATCACACAAACGTTCATGTAAAGTTCCATAACCATTTCAGTTGAAGTTTAGCAGGGATTATAAACAATTTATAACCATTATCGGTAAGGTCAATTTATGGTTCGCGCTTATGCGGGATTGTTAAAGGGCGCAAGTGAATCAGTTTTCATTCAATGATAAGAGGATGTTTTGTTTTTTGCTGTGTATGTGTGATGTTTCATTAACGATGTCGTGCAATGAAATTAATATTTCGCATTTAAATTCCATCTGAAATATTCAAAGATACACATCAGTCTGATTGGAATAACGTTTTTCCTACACAATTCGAAGGTTTTATTGGAAGGATGTTTTGCAGGTTTGATCAAAATTATGTGTTAATGCTCATGTCATGGATTTCATATGCAGCATGTCAAAATTATAATCATCATGCAGTGGGTGACGTCTGCGTAGAGCTTTTACTGCAATCTTCCAATAGCAAACACAGACAGACGAATAGAAATTCCGTGAAACTATTAACGGGTATAACAGAGCATTGTTTTCTCGAGAGTTGTTCTCGGATCGGTGTGAATTATAGATACTATAGGTTCCATCCACCAAAAATAGTTTTCATGTAGCTTCCAATGGAAAGGCACATGACTTTCATCCATAATCAAAATTAATGTAATTCATCTGAAGTTCTCATAACATTTATGCGTTTCCATTGATTTTATATGATTTTTCATACGAATTTCATGAGTGTGGTGATATTTACAGTTATGTGATCACAGGAAAGTAATGTGAAATTCACACGGATGTAGAATGTAGCCAAACGAACTGTCAATTAGTGTAGCGAAACGAGAATGACGTCATCGTGGTGTTTTTAGTAGGAAAAGCATTGTAATATTATGAGCACAAAACGCTTTCCACATTCCACATTCTGATTTATTTAGCGGAAAACGGAAGAAGAAAATATAACGCAAACCACTCCTCGATTAGGTCGTATGAATAAAAGCGTTTACTTTACTTTTCCCGTAAGAAAAGCACGGGAAAGTAAAGTAAACTCTTTTTATTCATACGGCCCATTGTTGCAAAAATTTTCTTTGCATTTCAATTTGAAGATCATTTAATTTTCATGGTTGTCAAAAGAACTTTTTATGCCTCCACTTATCTATGGAATCTACACGGTAAGAAAAAAGTACCCAACGGTCAGTTCACTTTTACCTACTTTTGACTAGTTTGTCTCCTTTTCTCCTTCAAATGTTGTCAAAAATGGAGTAGCAAAACCACCCAACCGGGGTAGTAAAGTGTGGGAACCCAATGTTGCGTATAATCATGTTTACGTACTTTTGGGTACAACTAACTTACTATTTTGTAGAAAGCTAGTGGAAAATTCCACACGAATTGCACACAAGGAAATGAAAACTACTTTGACCCGCTTTACCTACTTTTGGGTTCCTGCACTATAGTGCCGAGATGAGTGAAAAGAATTTACTTTTGGGTACTTTTTTCTAACCGTAAGTATCTACAGTGTGAATGTTGTGCAATAATCGCACCTCGGTTGTACCTCATTGGTTACGATATCGCCACTGCGCAAAGTTAGAATGTTGCTTTCGTCGGATTGAAAATTTGATCTATAGTGCGCTGATGACGATGAGTGCATCATCACCAGCCGGCACTCAATCTCGCTGTCTTCTTCTCTCCAACACAAACGCATCTTTCTGTCAGACTTAGTTTCGTCGATCCCGTTTGGGTTCCGTTGAGCGCAGAGCAGAGCGCTTTTCGCTGTCTGTCAAAAAGTTTCTGTGAGCTCCGACGTTTTGATAGCATATTTCGCGAAATTTTACTATATTCTGTGTGTTATTCTTGGAAATGTTATGTGATTTGTGTGCTCCGAAGTGCGTTGTGTCGAATGAAACCAAAGAAACGTGAAAATCCATAGGTTGTGGAATGGCAGATGCGATTTTTTCTTACCCAGAATAGTGACCCTAATTTTAGGGGAAATTTTGTTTTAATAAAAAAAAAGCCAGCAGCGGGCAGTGAATGTGTATATAGTGTGTGCGCATTTAGTTGTAGAAAGAAACGCTCTCCGCGGATATATTTACGTTTATTATTGGCTGGCATTATATCGTGATCAGTGCCGTTATCATAACAGTGCCACGGACGTCATTTTTGTACGGACAACGCAATTTATTTGCCTCTTCAGCATATCGAGAATAGGTAAGTGAGTTTGGTTCCTTTTCGGAACCAGTCCCAGTCACTAGAAAGTTGTAATCATTCATTGAAACGAAACATGGCGATTCTACCGACGAACGAGCGTTACTGACTGTTTTGACGGCTTCGGATTCATTGATTAGATTTTCGGAGATTCTAAATCATTGACAGACAGTCGGCGATAAAAACACAAACAATCGTGCGATTGCAGCTGGTGATGCCTTCGTGGGAGTGAATCTAGCGGGGAGAAGGGGCTTGTGCTAACGAAGAGAAGAAACCCCCTACCGAAAAGCAGTGTTTTGAGATTTCGGGCAATGGAAAACGAGTAGGGAAAACGTTACCACCAAATCGGAGCAAAGCCTGGGATGAAATAATGCAGAAAGATGGTGGGAAACGACGCATTCAGTGCACTCACACTAGCTGGGGTATTTGAATGATGATGATGCACACTCAAATGCAGTGAGATGCAGGTACATACCGTACATACATTAAATTTTACTTTCGTCCGCCCCTCCATCTCCTTTAGGCCGTACGAGAGAACGGGAAGATTGGTAGAATGAATGCTTTCATTCATGTGCGTATGTATTTATTGTGTTTGTGTACACGACACAAAGCTCTATACAAGCATTCCGGTAACTCAACACAACTAAAACCGTTAGGTTTACGCGCCTTGGACTCTACTTCTTCATATTCACTGAGTGCATCATTAATCAACGTTCATACTAACTCGATATCTAAGGGTGGTATCCGGCCGGGAGATAAAATGCTTTTCAGGAGGTCTATAAGGGTGATTGATATTTAAGGATATGATATAATTAAAATCTTAATTAAAATGGATCGTGCGCTCAGGCCTGTTGCTCTAGTTTAAATCATCGTAAATAAAGATAGTATATTTCGTAGATTGCTTTCGAATGGTAGACAGTTCGGAAGGCGGTTTTTCGACAGAGCAGAAAATTGAGCCCCAGCGTAGAGAACGTTAGTCGTTTTAATCGCTGAATTAACTAAAAACAAAATAGTAATTATAATACCTGTACCAGCTATGGATTCAGGGGCCTCAGCTTGAATAGTCAGTAAAGGCGATTCTCGGTCCGGTCTAGAAAATATTTCGGATTCGAATTTTTTTTTTCGTTTTTCCTGGATATAGAGTATAATTAAATTCATGTATTAATTGGCATAGAAAGCTCTCAAATAATAACTGTGTTTCAAGAGAGTTCAAGTTAAGAGCCGCCGCAAACTCGTGTAAGAGCGTCAATGCCAGGAAGTAGAAAAATTATTTTAGAGCATAATTAAATTTTATAGATAATCGGCCAAAGAGAAGAATTTGGATGTCATTGGATCAATTCAGTCTGGTGACAATCAAACATTTGAAAGAATTGTTGTGCAATGATGGTTGCTCGAAGCGATGATATACGGAAATGGACTCCGTATGACACAATAGTGCAGCACCCTAACAGAAATGAATACATCTTCATAGGGTAGTAAAGTGCATGAGGGGAAGTTTGAGTGACCGTGTAGGGAGTGAGTTCTCTCAATTTTCTCCATCAAAAAAAAAAACCTAACATTTAATCGCAGCAGATTCCCACTGTGGGGTAATTTTCCCCTTTTTATTGCCTTATATCTTATGCTTACTTATACGTACACAACGTATTACCTACCTATTATTATTTATTGATTACCTGTTGCTCATCGTACAATGAGGTACAATATGCAAAAAGTGAAAATTCATTTTTAACAATCAATAATCTCTTTAAATTGGACCAGCGGAAATCGAGTGAACTTTATCGCATAGCAACACAAAAATCGACAGTTGTGCTGTCCAAACATTCGGATACGAACCAGGAACCGGTGTGTGGTGCTCGAGCATAAAATTGCATGTCGACTGAATCGATTCCCTCCTCCTTTCACTTGAACAGAAGGCTTTTATTGGAATGAGTATGTATACGTATCTACAACCCCAAACAACATGCATTTAATTTTTCTCCCTCTTTTTTGTACCTTCACTTCCCTTTCCGTGACTGTTGAATGGAGGCATCTATATTATTGGTTGGTAGTTTTGAACTTATCTGATCCATTTTAAGGTTAGGATCTCCTTGCTTGACAACAATAAATGTCGGGCATAAATATCAAGTTATCTTTAATCTCACCTTCATTAGCTATCGCGTATATTTAAATGCGCATATTCATGTTGAATGTGACATATTCAAATTGAAATTATGTCAATTCCTTTGGTCGTTTTAAAATCTACGCGTGGCATAAGATCTGAAAAAAAATCACTCGTTGACTTGAAATTCGATTTACTTGCACAAAACGAAAGTGAAATTTAATCTCTGCGCAAGCGAGTGAATGGCTGCTCTTCTTTCTATTGCCTGCTTCGCAGCAAACCGCACAGAAATGGTTCCATTTAATATTTTGCTCTTTTGTCTTCACTTTATGGAGCAGTCTTCTTGCGGACGAACCACTCAAGCATACGAATAAGTTTGCGCGGAACTCAATCGGCGATGCAGAGCACATAGCTGTTGTTGAATGCACGTGATAGAGGACAACTGTTTCTATTTTGCTCTTCGAAACGACTTTGAACTGGTTGTCAAAGGGATTTAATAGATTGCGTAATTTAAAGTAAAAATGGATGGAATCCATTCGATCCCGTTTTGAAGCATGACTTAAAACATAGCAATATGAAGCCTAGATTGTATTTCTCTATCCGAATGTTCTCGCTTAGATTTCTGGATGCAAAAATTGTAATACTAATGCTGTTCACTGATGTCGAGAAAAAAATACCACACCGAAAAGTTCCTCTTCAGTAAAAGTCGCATCCTGGTTAAACTAACAAATAAAACTACGATATCATGTGGCAGTATAGGATATGCTTATATGAATAAGTTGTAAGCATATTTGCGGCATCAGAAACATCTTAGTTGAGAGAGATACTTAATGACTTAAGGGAGGATGTCGAATACCTGAAAAATCAGGAATATCAGGGAACCCATTTTAGGACCTGGGAAATAAGGGAATCTCAGAGAATTACAGAGAAATATTTCTTAATCACAGAAACTGACTGACTTTACAAAGAAACAATGGCAATGGCAATGGCAAGACCCAATTATTTAAACAAGCCTGGCAGTGTTTTGAAATTAAAATTTAATAAAACAGCTTTTGAAATAAGGGTCAAAGTTTTACCGAACGTTCTGCTGTTAAAAGTACGTTAAAATTACCTAAGTCGGTAATGATTTCTAAGTGTGTGTATCAGAAAATTTGCTGGATTTACCATTTGGGACTTCAGGTAAGCATAGATAAGTTCAGGGAAAATTAGTGAGCGTTTATAATGGTTATAATACTTAAGGAAAGTTGTCGAAACTTCATGGTAAATCAATTAATTTCAGTAAAGTTGCGAGGTCTTAAATAACTGATCAATTCAGGGCAGTCTAGAGAACTGTAAAGAAATTCAGTTAATCGTTAATAGCGCCTAAAAAGTCTAGACTAGTGTTAAGAGAAATTTCTTGAACTTTAGAAAAATCCTGAGAACTTCATTAAATATGGAATTAGAATGAAAATTGCGGGAGAACAAAAGTTCCACAAATTTAGAAGGACCGTGGTCTTCAGAAACATTTCGAGAACTTCATAGAAATCTATGAAGCTTAAGGAGAGATTCGCGAACATTAGGAATTTTCATGAACAATAGCAAAATGCGGGAGCATTTGAAAAAAGTTTAGTTATCTCCGGAAATTGGAGGAATTTCAGGGGGAGGTTAATTCCATTAGTTTCAGAAAATTAGTGGGAAATTTATAGCAGTTCCCAGAATGTCAGATAACTTCAGAGACGTTAAAAATTAAGTGAAGTCTGCATAAGGTCGGAAGTTGACGGAAGCTTGAACATTTTTAAGTACAACAAGCTTCATGAGAACTGCAAAAACTTTAGAGAAGTTTTGAGAATTTCAGAAAAGAACAGAGAACCTCAGATCAGTTCCGTTAACATAATTTTTTTTTTTTTTTATTATAGGCACTTTAACACTCTTGGGTCATTCGTGACTTGTCCGGGGGTGAGATTTGAACTCGTGACTTTGGCGTGAGAGGTATGGATGCTAACCACTACGCCGGGGTCGCCCCCTCCGTTAACATTAGAGAAGTCACATAAATTTTAATGTAGTTTAGAGAACTTCAACGAATTGTTAGAGGAGATAAATGATCATTAAAAAAATGAGGAAACTTTATAAAGTCCTATAAAGTTCACGAAAGTTTAAGAATTTGATGAGAAGTATTGTGAGCATCAGGCTAGTTTCATTAACTTCAGGAAAAAAACGAGAACTTTTAAGTAGTTCTGTTACAGTAGACCTCAGAATAGTCCATTCCATATTCAACGGAGACTTCCGTTGAAATATTCCTCAAAATTG